GCCAATCATTGACAGTCTTAGACGAAATAAAAAGGAGGCCATACTTGCGGTTGATTTAAAGAAGTATGAACGTGTATTAACGAAACATTTTGAGTGCACCTGACCGTTTCGCAACGGTCTAAAATTCCAAAACTTGATTTTTGGACGAAGATATATAACATGTCCCTTCTCACCAATTTGATTTAACTTCTCCTGGTCCGGATTTCGGAAAATAATCACAATATTACAGTATGCAGAATCAGGATAATGGGTTTGTTATTATGATGTAGAAAGATTGGTTTTGAGCAGCCTGTTTGGCCCCATTTCCAATTACCTCCAAATAATTTCTAGTGCCAAAACGTGGTTTTTTTTTTGCTGACATGACACTGTGTTTTTGTGTTAAATGTTCTTGGTCTTGCTTTTTCCCCTCAGTGAAACCTCCCAGCGGTAGTGAACTTGAAGGTAAATTTGCTACACAAATTTGGTTGACTACTAACTCAGCTATCAAAACACCAAAAAGTAAACACTACTTAATAGCAAGCAAATGCATATATCTTCCCTTCATTAAAACTAACGGGATGAATTACATTCCCCAGCAAACCTTTTATGAGCAAGTGGTGAGATTCCTTTACACCTATTAGGCGCATGCTGCTTTCTGGGTAACGTACGCGTCTGTGGGAAGTGGCTGCAGGCCCAAGGCGATTTTTCCTTTCGTGTCTGTGCTATTTTCATTTGTACTCACAACATTTGGACGCCATCTTCCTGCATTTACCGTGTCAGTGGCTCTGACCTTCAGACATGTTGTGTATGGCGTGCAAAGTTAACATTGAATCCGCATATACAGATATGTCTATACTTAATAGAGATATCTCTATTAGGAAGAGAGATATTTCTATTCCCAATAGAAATACCTTTAGAACAGATAAAAACGTATATCAAACTTTTGACTGCAAAGGTGAGATCATTATTGCTTGTTACACATAACGTTTGACATAAAACGATGGATTGACCATTTTGCCTATTCACTTTGAATCGTTTGATTTCATTAAAACATGATCAGACACGGCTAGCCAAGACATCCTGCTGATACAAGGTTTTGTGTTCTTTTTGTAACTTAGCAAAACCCGACCATTTGGGTGAATGCCCTGTTTTCCCTAAGGATGTCGCAGGAATCTGCATTAGCAACTGTGCGGCGGATAATGACTGCAAAAAGACAGAAAAATGTTGTTCCAACAGTTGCGGGAAGGTTTGCCAAAAAGGTACGTTGAATTAAGTGAAAAGTTATCTGAGAGCTAAATCTTTGGGTATTTTTCCGTTGTACGCTTGTGATTCTGTGCACTTTAGTTCAATAGTGAACAGTCTGTGAAAGTTGTGTTCGTGATGTGCTACTTCATTAGAATGAAAACTAGTGTCAATTTTAGGCTCTTCCTAACTTATTGGATATTTTCTTGACCTTTAGCATGTACACCGGTACGATGCAGGATGGATTGTCAACATGGTTTCAAGAGAAACGGCAACGGGTGTGAAATATGCGAATGCAAAGGTAATTTCCACCCACCTTTTCTCTTGGGGTCACGCTCTTAATATTTTGCTTTTCAAACCTGTTTTAAGTGGTCTTAAAAATCTGCGATCGGCTGTGTTCTTGGAAAGCTCCAGTGCAGGACATATTTATGCTTCGACACTAGGACATTTCTTTAAACCTGTTTTAGAAGGGTCGCACCGAACGAAATAGAATAAGAGCAATTGGGGTCGACCCAATTAAAGTTTGACAGACAGACGAACTTACACACATACATTTATGCTTTACAAACATGTTTTAACGAGTCGTCTTAAAACTGTCGATCTTCGATCATTCGCATGGTGACACGCCTGGTCACTCCTAAATTGTTTCAGACGTTGAACGTTACTTGATTCAAGATTTGCTTTCACTTTTAGTTCGGTGTTACTCCAATACACCTGTTTGAAACTGATGTTAGATCTTTGACCTCCCTAATTTTGCACTTCTCTGTCGTAGCTTGCTCCAGGCTGTAGGCCTACGTCGATATGAAAATATAAAAGAGCATTCATCACAGTTTGCTGTGCTAATGCGATTGTTACGGGAATTTTTTTGCAGCATCGACTGAAGAGATTCCACCGAAAGAAACCCCAGAAGACACAAAAGGTATTATACGAATTTCTGTTTGAAACAAATAAATTTGATTTTTAAGTTAGAGCTAATGTGCCTTGAACTCCAGTAGATGTTTTTGAAGGTGGCAAGACCTGGTAGACTGGTAATTGCTTTACCTTACCTAATCCGCACATTAACAGACAAATGATTAAGTTTTCTTTGTAAACCAATCACTCGGAGAGAAAAATAGCGGTGTTTAAAGACGGAATATATGTCAACTATGTAGTTAAGGGCGTATGAAGATGTTATTTGCATACATGTAACAGCAGTCACATTCAGAAAAAAGTTAATAATCCGACTTGGATTCCCTCTAAAAGATGATTTCGTGAGATCGTGTTATTTTGGGCGAATTACATGTAAAAATATAATTACAGCATTAAGCAAAAAATTTGGATCGGCAGTCATTCTATAAAATAAAATTCTCTTTGCGTTATTCAACATCAGACGCATGAAAAAGTACCTTACCATTAGGTGCAGTGAAAAATCGATCCATGCTTTCATTTCTAGCCAATTGGATTCCTGTAATAGTCTACCTGATTGTCAGATAAATCAACTTCAACGGGTACAGAATGCCTGTGCTCGACAAGTTTACAAGTTGTGCAGGTTTATCATGTTTCAATATTGCTGTCTAAGCTGCATTGGCTTCCAGTGAAGTTTAGAATTAATTTTAAAATATTAGTGCTGACCTATAATTGCCTTCGTGGTTTGGTTCCAAGCTAAAATAGCCAACTTATCGTAAAAAATACCTCTTCTGGTTGCGTCCTTCGTAGCTTTCTTGATGATACTCTGTTGGAATATCCCTCTCACGGCACTAAGGTGACACTTGGGGATAAGTCCTTTGCTATATTGCTGCTCCAAAACTTTGGAACGCCGTTCCCGTACACATTAGAAGTGCTGAGAGCTTTTAAGGCATTATTGAAAACATATTTGTTTCAAGCAGGCCATCTATTACGTCCAACGGGTATCTGTGTGAAGGGGTCACAGGGTGCTGCAGGGTGCTAAGAGGGTGTCTACATTGTCTGCTTGTTGGAATTCTTTTGTTGGAGGATGTTGGTTGATTCTTTGATTTTGAGTCTTGTCGTCGAATGTTGTAACACCTTTATATCAATGTTAACTTTTACCTTTCGTTTTATTAATGGTTTAAATATAATTTAGTATTAATGTTTTTATGGAAAGTGCATATATGTATTATAGAATTTGCGCTATATAAGTCGATAAATTATCATTTATTATTATAATTCGACTTGAATTTACAATCGACTTTTTTAGTGCCAACTCAATGCTTTTTAGCTTACTTAAAATTGTTTTACAGTTTGTCCTGAGCCACAGTGTAGTCAGGAATGCCCAGGAGGATTCGAAAAGGACGCATATGGCTGTAAAATGTGTGACTGCATAGGTAAGACAGGCAAATGCCAACCGAGGATCAATTTAAAATAGTCCTCCCATTTTGTTGTCAGGAAAAAGATTGAGGAGTAAAATCAAAAGAGCAAATCCTGCATTTTCCTTTCCCAATTGGTAGTCATTTTGAACTCATCTTTAAGATTGGGGTATCTCCAGGATTGATACGTTGCTTTCCCTACAATACATTCTTAGTTATTAATTAAAAAGAGCGGTACACGAAAAGCATCTCATCGTTATGCATACCATCGATTACTTTATTTAGAGATTACAGAGGGAGGTGAGGACGAGGAGGAAGAGGAGGAAGAGCCTGAAGGTCAGGTTCTTGAAACGACCGGAGGCAGCAAGGAAATCGTCATCAGTAACGAGGTAAACACCCAGCAGGAGCAACTATTCGTCATCGACCCTAACGACATGTTGAAGTTTACACTGTCATCAGGGGATGGAGACCTGACCATTGGTAAGAATGTTTGCCTTCTGGAATGTGTACAAATTCAATTTTTTACTTGATGATGTTTATCGTTTTTATCATTAATTGCTAAGTTTCGTGAAATCCAGTCTTCAACCGGCAATTTCCTTTACATCTTATATTTACATCTTAATTGTACCAATGATGATGAAGCATTTTAAGTCATTAAGCCAAGTGTCTGATAGTGTAGTCTAGTGAATTCTATGCACTCATTACGAATTTGAGCTCCTGTAAATCACATTTCCAGAGCTGCCAACCTGTCGTCCTCCTTCCTGAGGTCAAGTCTTACCACTTAATAATTATCTAAATGGGCCCTCAGTTCATTCAATATTCTAATCTATTATGTGGTGACGCCTGAACTCAGGCGTCACCATGATGAGAAGGAGTACGACAGGTTGGCAGGTATGCTTTTTGCTTGACAGTACTACATGATTTTTGTCAATCGCCAAGGTCTAATTACAAGTGCAGCTGTTTCAATCTTTCCGTGCAACCAATATTTGTTCTGTCCACGTTTACCTTAGCTGTGCTGGGAACGGTGGTGGAACTTTTGGACTCTCACGACAACGTGATGAGAATCGTGAAACTGCCAACGTGGTGTCTGCATCACAAAGAAATCAATTTTGCCGTAAACTTCATCACCACTGGCTTTAAAGTACTGATAATAACATCATCTGGAGAAGAAAGATTACTGACGAAGTACGAAAAGAGGAGCAAGAAGAAATTCACCTGCAAATCTCTGAGATTGACATCAAAGAAAAAGAAGAGGTGCAGGGTGAGATACAAGCACAAGAGGAGACGTCGAGGTAACATACTTCCTTTCTTTTGCATCACTTTCGCATCAAAGTTAAAAACTCACAAACTACGGTATTTGAATTCTGAATACGCAAACTTTAACCAAAGAATTTGACATAAATGACTCTATGTTTGATTTCATTTTTCCAGGTAGAAGAGGCAGAAAAGGTAGGGACTTTAGTTTTCTTCACAAAGCAATAGATCCTTGCACAGATTTGTCTCAAAAATCTGTTTCAAATATTAATATAATTAAGAAAATTAGAGTCTTTTAATGTGTAATTGATATGATTTTTTCCAGGAAAACTGCGAAAATTTCTGAAGAAAAGACTAAGGAAAAAACGGAAAGGTACTCTCATATGGTTTATTCTTAAAATAAAGATTTTTCATTGCTACATTATTTTCAGGGAAAAACCTGACATTTAACCAAATTTTTAAACCAACGACCTTTTCTAGGCCTCCAACGATTCAGTTATCCTACATTGTCGTCTATAGTGAATAAGACTTTATTTTATTTGTGATTGCATCACCAATCTGTTTTGTCTAACTCAGATGCAAGATTTTACCCCGACTTATAAAGGAATTTGTGTCATTGCCCTTGGCCAGCATATGTTATCAAAGAGGACTAGGCGGCCACCTTATCTCTCTCAAAGCAAGAAGTTGGCCTGATACGCACAACTCATTTGGCTTAAATCTTCAGACACGTTGCGCCTATACTCTTGTCCAAAAAGGCAGATATCCAACCGATTTTCAAGCTTTGGTAGTCTCTGTATATCTAGGGAAGACCTAACCGATGCCCAGTTTTCCAAAACCTGAATTAGCGTTCTTTCCAAAGGTTTGCAGGACTGCTTTGAATGTGGTAGGACTTCTTTGCAGAATCATCTGCGGAGATTTCACCGACAGAGAACGCAGAAGGCATACATGGTGTTTATCTGGCTGTTTGTTTTAAACAAAAGAATTTGAAATTATGAGTCATTACGCCTTGAATTGCTGTATAAAAATGCAATGGTGGCATAACAATGCTGTAGGCCTCATGTGTGTTTCAGTTAAACTAATTTTAAGACTCAAAGGCACATAATAAAATTTAACAAGCCAATCCCCAAGCCAGTAAAACAGCGTTGTTTCACGACGCAAACCATGCAAACCATGTTGTCCTGGTCATTTCCAGTGAGCAAGGAGGCAAAAGAGTACTTACTCACTGGGGGAGGGGGGTGGGGAGCTGGGCCAATGAAAAATGAAAAGAAAATGCACGGCAAAAGAAAAACAGTTGTAAGTTGACATGAATTGACATGTTGATTTTTTTTTTATCAGTCTGCTATCGTCTGAATGTCGTGACCACTGGTATTCTAATACTTAACCTTGGAGAATTTCTAGCCCAGTCCGGGGATATGGTACTTGATTTTTGAATGTATAAAGAGAGTGACCACAAAGGTGTTAAATATTTTATCAGCCGTAACATTATAATTGAGACATTGAAATGAATCACTGCAGTCTGCCTTAAATTCATCAGCTTAAAAGAAATTGAAATACATGATATCAAATATTGTTGCCCAAATGTACTTGTTCTTGATCTGAATTTCGCTTGTTGGCACTTGAAATCGGAACTTGAAATCAGCATTTGAAATCGGCACTTGAAATCGGAGCGAAACGCCACCCGCAGTAAGTCCACAAACCGATAATGAAACCTAGGCTCCATTAAATGAAAACGGATTAGGTGAAGTTGAAGTTACCGTCATGAATGAAGAGAAAGTTATCTTCATAGACAAAAATAATCACATTGGTTTAGGTGAAAACAGGTGTGATTTATAACCCTCAGACTTAGTTTCCCTAAAAAGGGACGATGCCATTTCTGGTATATTGTTAAAAAAGACAAAACAATTTTACGGTATTACAGTATACAACGCGAACCGAACGGAAAATTAATTTATTCCGTAATGCAAGTTAAATCTTACCGTGACTGCATTGTTGTCGCCATCTCAATAGGATTCAGCTAACTAAAATTGTTTTACAGTTTGTCCTAAGGTACGGTGTAGTCAGGACTGCCCAGGAGGATTTGAATTGGACACGAATGGCTGTCAGATGTGTGATTGCGTAGGTAAGGTTTATGTCAACCAATGATTAATTTGATATCACCCTCATTCTGTGTCGCAGAGCATATAAACTACCGAGGAGCAAAAAAAAGGAGCAAATCCTGTAGTTTTTCTCATTTTGTACACATCTTCGATCCCTCAGTTGGTCGACTGCTTTCTCTACATGTGTTCTAATTCGTATTATCGAAGAGAGCATTGCACAAACCTCTCATTTGAAGCATGTCCTCGATGTATTTATTTAGAGATTACAGAGGGAGGTGAGGACGAGGAGGAAGAGGAGGAAGAGCCTGAAGGTCAGGTTCTTGAAACGACCGGAGGCAGCAAGGAAATCGTCATCAGCAACGAGGTAAACACCCAGCAGGAGCAACTATTCGTCATCGACCCTAACGACATGTTGAAGTTTACACTGTCATCAGGGGATGGAGACCTGACCATCGGTAAGAATGTTTGCCCTCTGGAATGTGTACAAATTCAATTGGTCAAAGAAAATTTTGATTTTTAATTTGATAATTTTTATCGTTTTTATTAGCAATTTCTAAGTACAAGCGGGCAGCAGTTTTACTGTTTCTGTAAAACCAATATTTGTTTTTCATTAATCTTAGCTGTGCTGAAAACTGCAGTGAACATTTTAGACTCGAAGGAAAAAGTGGTGAAAAGCGTGGAATTGCCAGCATGGTGTGTGCAGTACCAACAACTAAATTTTGCCATAAACTTCATCACCACTGGCTTCAAAGTACTGATAATAACATCATCTGGAGAAGAGAGATTACTGACGAAGTACGAAAAGAAGAGCAAGAAGAAATTCACCTGCAAATCTCTGAGATTGACATCAAAGAAAAAGAAGAGGTGCAGGGTGAAATACAGCCACAGAAGGAGACGTCGAGGTAGTTTTTCCTCTTTTTTCCGCAAACGTGTTGCAATGGAATGAATAATTTTTAATGAATACGTCAAAATTAAATATAGATTGCAAAATCCACTCTGTTTCATTTTTTCCAAGTAGAAGAGACAAAGTAGGTAATGACTTTGATTCTGAAAAGTGTTTCCAAGTTGTTGATGGTGGTATTCAAGTTTTTATTATAAAAAGTTTTACGATTTTATTTCAGGCTCATCCAGAAGGAAGAAGTTTAAGAAAAGTGAGCCGTATTTACGTTTTTGTTTGGCATAAATTAACTCAAAGACTTATGAGAGTAATGTTTGTGTTTCTCTGATGTTTATTGTCTGATACTTTGACTAATTTTTTTGCTAAAAGGGTTTTTAAATGCAACCGAATAGAGAATCGAAATATGAAGTTGGAAAAACAAACTCACCATTTTCTACCTTTAATTCAAAAATTGTTCTTGTGGTAGTAATCCTTAGCACTTTTGTTTGGCTCCGATCCGAATCACAAAGCACGAATGTTGGCGTGAGCCAGCACCCACGGCAATACATCGCTCGTCCGTTTGTGCCGACCCCACCCACTCAAGATGAGCAATTCCACCTCTCCTCCCTGGGCCATCCAAGTTGCCGAATAAAGTTTCGGATATTTTTGCCCTGCCTGACTTGTATTTTTTTAACACTGTATGCTCAGTGTATGCCCCCGAGGGCTTGTGAAAAAAACCACAAGCGTACTCGGGTGGGCCTCGAACCCACAACCTCCTGCTAGTGCAGACGTCTTAATTAAAACCACTCGACCACCGAGCTTGCCGGTGTCGGCTTGCTGGTTCGAATCAGATTTCAAGGATGGATTTGCGCCGGGGAGAAGTAAATTAATATTTTTTGTTTTAGTTTTTCTTCACAAGCCTTCTGGGGCATACACTGATCATACACTCATAAAAAAATACACGTCAGGCAGGGAAAAATCCAAAAATTTATTTTCCACCCATCCCTGAAATAGTTGCTGAATAAAGCAACCCTACAATTGCTCTCTATTCCCAACACCCCTTCGGCATCAATCCTAAGCCAAGCGCAAAGGTGGCCGCACCACCCGGGGAGGGAGAAGGGCCTCGACTGGCTCAAGCAAAGCTAGAACGAAACTGGACCAGTTTGCAATCATGCCAGATCGATCGCGCGCTCCACATCCCCAATTCCGGTAATGTAATGCATTGTGTATACTTCCGAGCACGCGGGCGTCGCAGCTCCTCAGATCAGATTTTTACCTCAGTGACCGCGCTGTGATCTTTTACAAAGTTGCTTGCCCTTGAGGGTGCAAATTGACTGTCTGAAATGTCCAGTGTCAACCAAATTCTCATGATACAACACGTATTTGTTACTGCCTAAGTTTATTGTCGGTCGGAATTCCGTAATTTTGGGTTTCTGAAACTGCAATAGGCCCCACACCCAAACTTTCGCAAATAAAAACCTGTTTTTTTTTGGTACCTTTAGTGGAAAAACATTTGTAAAAACTTCAAATTGAAGCAGTGTCTCCTTTAAAACTGGTACCATCAGTGATGCAAGTTTAACAGTGATCTATACATTTATACCTTAGGAATTCTTTTGGTAATTTATCCCGAGCACTGTTTCGTTCCAACTGCGAAATGTTACTTCAAAAAGTGGAATAAAACTTTCGTATCATTTTCGGCTGCAAAACAGAGATCCATTTTATCAGAAAAAAGGTATAGACTTGATTTTTTTCACTTTCTTAGTTTTCCCGCCCTTGTTTTGATTTTGAGTTAACGATTAATATCAGTTTACTGGTGAAGCGGAAGCACTGCTCTTATTCTATTCTTAAACATTTCTTTGACGGTTGGATTGCAAAGCGTTTTTCAAATATAAATCATTTCAAGATCGAGTCCTGTTTCTTTATTTTATAGAATCGTATGTGAAGAAGACGAAAGGGAGTAGTAAGTTTGAAAGTTTAATCAATTCTTGGATAAAATTTCATAATTCCAATTTCTGTTGCTCAAGTAATTTTAAACGACAACTTTTAGTAAGCCCTTACCTATTTTCTTGGGAGTTTCATCATTTGCTGATTTTTCTCCACGCTAGCCATTTGCGGTGATTCTTTAACTTTGTCACCTTATTAACTGAAACAATTATTACCACAAAGGACCCATTAAGAACTTATACTGGCAACTGAAACGAAACATTTCCAGCAGCGACAAGAACTCGCTTTGTGGGATCATAGTTTGGCAAAGGGTGATTGCTTCAGTTATTGTACGACAAGCCAATACATAAGTTGCTAGGATATCAAATGAACGAAATTTTTACTGTGTTGCTAGTTGTATTTAAGGTTTGAATTTCAAGTGATTTGTAGTTGAGATAGTTGTTAGGATACCAAATGAACGAACTTTTACTGCGTTGGTAGTTGTATTTAAGGTTTGAATTTCAAGTGATTTGTAGTTGAGAAAGTTGTTAGGATATCAAATGAACGAACTTTTTACTGTATTGGTAGTTGTATTTAAGGTTTGAATTTCAAGTGATTTGTAGTTGAGATAGTTGTTAGGATATCAAATGAACGAACTTTTTACTGCGTTGGTAGTTGTATTTAAGGTTTGAATTTCAAGTGATTTGCGGTTGAGATATGGATATCTTTTCATTTTTCTTTCAGGCTCCTCTAGAAAGAAGAAGTACAAGAAAAGTGAGTGATATTTGTCAATCGAACTGTTTTGGACATTCAATGCTACCCTCTGGATGTATGGCTCTCTCGATATTTTACCTGAGGGTGTAGTCCAAATGTATATAAAAGTGCTATGAATTTTTTTCTCTTTCGGAAAATCTTCTGTTACATCTTAACTTCTGTATCCAGATCATTTTGAACTTATTAGTAGAAGCAATGTCTCTCGACAAGATGTTTTTATAATACTGTGGCGATTATTTGTGGTTGGAAATCTTCAATTCAGGGTTTCCAGCGATAGGCTATATAAGCACGCAAAGATTATGTGAATCAAAGAACCTAGGATGTTTGTTTTTAACTTTCAGTGAAAAGATATTTTTGTGGACACTTGAAATTGAATCAGTTTTAACTTTTAAAACTGTTTCCATGGGAGATATGAGTTTAACAGTGATCTATATTTATACCTTAAATTTAAGAGATCTTCTGATAATTTATCTCGAGCACTTTTTCCTTCCAACTGCGAAATGTTACTTTAAAAACTGGAATAAAACTTTCCAATCGTTTTTGGCTGCAAAACAGAGATCAGATTTATTAGAAAAAAAATTGTATATACTTGATTTTTTTACTTTCTTACTTTTTTCACCTTTGTCTTAATTTTGAGTTAACGATTAACATCTGTTGACTAGTGAAGCGGAATCACTGCTCTTATTCTATTTTAAACATTTCTTTGACGTTTCAACTTGCAAGACGTTTTTCAAATATGAAAGATTTCAAGACCGAGTCATTTTTTTATATTTTATAGAGTCCTATGTGAAGAAGACGAAAGGCAGTAGTGAGTTTGACAGTTTAATCAATTCTGAAATAAAATGTTATAATTCCAATTTCTGTGGCATAAGTAATTTTAAACGAGAACTTTAAGCACCTATTTTCTCCGGAGTTTCGTCATTTCCTGATTTATCTCCACGCTAGCCCTTTACGGTGGTTCTGTAACTTTGTCACCTTAACTGAAACAATTATTCACCACAAAGGACCCGTCAAGAACTGATACTGGCAACTGAAATGAAACATTTTCAATTTCGACAAGGACTTGTTTTGTGGGATCATAACGGAGTTTGGGAAATGGTTGATTGCTTCAGTTGTTGTACGAAAAGCCATTACAAAAGTTGCTAGGATATCAAATGAACGAACTGT